TTTAGCTTATCTTAAAAGATAACAGCTTCTTGGACAGTGACTGATCGGGATCCCCTGCCCTGAGCTCCCATTGCCTGCCGCTGCTCCAAGTCGCAGTAGAGAAAAAAATAGGAAAATAACTTGGTGTTGTCATGGAAGTGATGGTGGCGGCTCTCAGAATCTCCAGAAACTCTATGGTTTTACCTCAGAATGAGGTCATCACACCCACAACATTCCTCCTGGCGTGCCCCTGACTCCAGCGCTCCTGCTGCTTGGTAGGCTCAGCCTAGCGACCCTACTGATTGACGACTTTGTCTGGCAGAGCAATTTGTGACTACTCCGAGCTTGAATGCACCTTGTGTGGTGGTAGTGGATAGCGCCATCAAGTCGCATCCAATTGATATTGACTCCTTGTTCGGGGCAAGAGACATTCAGAGGTGGTAGGACATTGCCTGCCTCCATGTCGTAACTCTGGACTTCCTTGATGGTCTCCCATCCAAATAGTAGCCGGGGCTGGACCCTGTATAGCTTCTGAAATCTGATGAGATTGGCCTAGCCTGGGCTATCCAGGTCAGGACCTGCCTTGTGTAAGTTGGCCTAATAGATTTTGGGACCAAGGTGACTCGCCAATGGAATTCATGGGATTTGAATCTGTTCACATTCTAACTGAATAGGAAAAGGTTTCATTTGTTGTTGTTGTTACTGACAAAATAGGTATGCTGCCTTTCTACCCACTCAGGGCCAGCACAGCAGCTAACAGTTAAAACATTATAATAATTTCATAAGGATAATTAATAAAAACAGTGAAAACCAAAACCAGGATACATATTAAAAAGACACAAAACAGCCCTGACCTGGATAGCCCAGGCAAGCCCGATCTCATCAGATCTCAGAAGCTAAGCAGGACCAACCCTGGCAAGTCCTTGGAAGGGAGACCTCCAAGAATTTACGGGGCTGGGAGTCCAATGTTCCCTCTAAGCTGTGGAGTCTTGTGTGCAAAACTTCTACTTTGTGAGCAACTGGCATTAAAGCTGTGAGCCAGCGATTGGGCTACTGCATAAATTAGTTTGCTCTGGAGCTGTCCTTCCTGAGCTAAGACAAAAATCTGTGAGCTGGAGGCTAAAAAACTGTGAGCTAGCTCACACTAACTCAGCTTAGAGGGAACACTGGCTGGGACACAGAGGCGGGCCATAGTAAGCCCCCTCTCTGAAACATCCAAGCCCAACTAGGGGTCACTAGAAGTCAGTCATGACTTCCAGGCATACACACACACACACACACACACACACACACAAATACTCACAAAAAAAAGAGAGAGAAAGGCATAAAGAAGTAATTAAAACATAGGGCAAGAAGGGAGGATCCAGTGAGGGAACACCAGACAAAACAGAAAAGTCTTCACCCACTGGTGGAAGAAAGTGACAGAAAGGGATAAATGACTTTGTCTGGGGAGAGAGTTCCGTCGTTTTGGTAACATGATCAAGAAGGCCCGCTCCAGGGTGCCATCCAACTATTCTCAGAAGGTGGGGGAACCTGAATCAGTGCCTTGGAAGGTGGCCTTAGGGTGGTTGGGTAGGTTCATATGGGAGCAAATGGTCCTTCAGGTCAATTTCCACTTCTACCTAAATGCCCTGTCTGTCTTCCAACAGAGTATCCAAGCCAGACACCCTGGGTCTTCCAGGCTCTGGCTGGGTCCCAGGCCGAGCGGTGCTACGAGAACAAGACGTGGGTCCTGGCATGTGTCATGTCTATGAGGTGAGTAGCTTGGAAGAAGGTGCTGGTGCAGTGCCTGGGGAGTTCATATGAGTCTCAGTTTTAGAGGCCAACTTCAGGCCCACCCTTCCCTTCCTCATCTGCCTTTCCCCTTGCCACACTCCTACAAATGCCATTTTCTGTCAATGAAGAAGAGTGTCTTTCATGTTGGCTCTCCTCTCATGTACTCTGATTTCCTTTCTGGCCTCTCCAAAAGACATCAGTAGACCTTTTGTCCTCAGCTACTCTTCCTCACATCCCTAGTTAGGAGAAAGGCAGAGCCATTGTTCAGTCTCCACTGTATTTCCACTTCCTTGTGGTGCCAATGATCAACAGGGGAGGAACCACCTCTGGGGCTAAACTTAAGGCCTCAGCCCAAGTACGTGTTCCTAAACCTGTTAGGCAAGATTACATGAACGAGGGGGGGGGACTGGAAGCATCCATAACAGTATGTGAACCAAGGAGACAAGAAGCATCCAAGCATTATGCGAACGAGTGGAGACAGGAAGCATCCATAACATAATGTGAACCAGGGGGGCAAGAAGCATCCAAGCATTATGTGAACTAGTGGAGACAGGAAGCATCCATAACATGTGAACCAGGGGGACAGGAAGCATCCATAACATAATGTGAACCAAGGGGACGAGAAGCATCCAAGCATTATGTGAACTAGGGAGGACAGGAAGTATCCATAACATTATGTGAACCAGGGCTACATTAAGCATACATAGCATTATGTGAGCTAGGGAAGACAGGAAGCATCTATAAAATGCGAACCAGGGGGACAAGAAGCATCCATAACATCATGTGAACCAGAGGAACAGGAAGCAGCCATAGCATTATGTGAACTGGGGGGAACAGGAGGCATCCATAACATTATGTGAGCCCAGGGGGACAGTTAGCATCCATAGAGGAAAATCAGCCATCAGGAGGGTTGCTTGACCTCGCCAAACCTCTGTACTCCTGAATTCTAGTTGCTGGGGGAAAAATTGTGGAGAAGAGTAGTTCCCCTGCATGCCCTGTTTGTGGGCTTCCTGGATGCCTCTGAGATAGATGGAAACAGGATGGGCCCATGGTCTGCTCCAGTCAGGCTCTTCTTATATTCTTTCATTGTGCCCGATTTTCCATGCCCTCCATGCTAGCCTGGCATTCTCAGACCATTTTCTTTATTCCTGGGCATCGCTTCTGCCCTCTTGGTGTGGCCGCTGCTCTCCTGTTGATCCTTTTTTCCTTTTTGCCCTGCAGTTTGGGAACATGGGTCCAAGCGCCATCAGCGAAGGGATCTTGGATGTCAGCTGCCCAATCCGGACGAGCGGACGAGATGTGCAGTATGTCACCCGCTATCTGGCCCTGGCCAATTGCTCCTCTAACCACCCCGTCAACCCATCCCACCTCCAGGTAAATGGGAACAAGGTTCTGGGGGGGGGGCGCAGTAACCGGAGAGGGCTGGGCAAAGATGTGGCTTTGGGGGCTAGAATTCAAACAAGGGGTGGTTTAGTGCAGGATACAAAGGGCAGAGGAAGAGGAGCAAGAGCTTCTTTAGAAGAAAGACTTAACTGCAGTTAGATCCAGAGGAGCCACCATGCTGGGCTGCAGTAGAATAGAAAAAGAAAAGGAAGCTGCACTGTGTACAGCACTACGTTATATTGAATAAACTTATATATGAAAAATCTTAGGTATATCTTATTGTGTTGAATATAAATATCATAAAGAAATAGTGAAGGTTCTCGTACAAATGCCAACAAATTGAACATCAAACGTGTCCATTCCAACATCATAGAAAATACAAATAAATCCTATGGTAGAAACAACCTTTCCATAAGAAGAAGAAGAGATTGGATTTATACCCCGCCCTTCACTCGGAGTCTCAGAGCGGCTTACAAACTCCTTTCCCTTCCCCTCCCCACAACAGACACCCTGTGAGGTGGGTGGGGCTGAGAGAGCTCTGACACAAACTGCTCTTTTTCAAGGACAGCTGTGCCAGAGCTTGTGACTGACCCAAGGTCACATCAGCAGGTGCAAGTGGAGGAGTGGGGAATCAAACCCGGTTCTCCCGGATTAGAGTCCGCACACTTAACCACTACACCAAACTGGCTATGAAATACTCTCCAAGATAGTATCCTAGTGCAACAAGAAGTTCATCCCCTGTGTTTTAGGGTGATGAAGCAATATGATGAATAAGGATCCAGACCCAACAGGCTATCGATAAAGGGCCGTTTCGAAAATCCTCTCCATCAAGAGTTGATGATCCTTCTATAAGCATAAACAGTTTACACTGGCTACAAAGTACAGTAATAACGGAACACGGGCAGCCTCCAAAATTCCATCAGCATCTGCTTACTTCCACATCAGGCTCGGTGCTCTTGCCCTGCCCTTTGAGTGAAGGTCTGTGGTAGGACAGCAGATCTGAGGGACGGGAGCTTTGACTCTCGGAAGCTCATCTCCCCCCCCCCCGCCTCCATCTTGTGAGTCTCTAAGGTGCTACCGGACTCTAGTCTTGGCTGTTTAACTGCACTTAGTAAACCAGATGCAGATGCAGGTTCAACAGTCCTCCGCTAACCATGGAGCGGTTTGCCTTCAGACAGTATGTAGTAAAACCAAAATCAAGTGGCCCCTTTAAGATGGACCAAGTTTCTTCCAGCATCAGCATTGGCTGGTGTGAATCAGACCTCACTTTGTCAGAGGCAGAATGCCCAAGTGAAAATTTTACGTGTCACTTTCCCCTGCAAGTCGATTAGCGGAGTTGGGGAGGGGACTAAAGGTTTCGTGGAGGGCTTCAAGGCGTCAGGTGCTTTTGATGCAGAAGCGCTGTGAGCAAACCTCTGTCTCTCCCTCCCCCATTTTGGATATATAGCTGGATCCACTCCCGACATCTTTTCCCGGCCACGATCAGCACTACGTCCAGAGGCACGACGCAAGCTGGAGCAGCACCTCTGCAAGGAACGGTTTCACCCTGGTAAGCTCCGTTCCTCATCTGTTCTCTCACGGACCCTCCCTCCCACGTTTTTTTTTGCCCAGGCCTTTGTGCAGGATTCCAGCATCTCCTCTCTTCAAGTTCTGCCCTCCCGTGCATCCATCCATTTGGGAGGGGAGGGTTCACGTGTAGAGTTCTCTCACCCCATGTGACCCTCACAGTGACCCTGTGAGGAGTGATGGTGATTGGCTGACTGCACTTCAGTGGCAGAGCAGCTCTGCAGTTGGTTCCCTACTTTGGTAGCATGGAACGGCTACTGGCCACAGATACTCTCTCGTGCATGTGCAGGAACTGAAATTTTTGCAAGCTATTGGGGAGAAAACCCAAAACGTGTTAATTCATTAAAGGCTTGAATTTTGAACACACGCACACATGAAGCCGCCTTATACTGAATCAGACCACCAATCCATCAAGGTCCGTATTCTCTACTCAGGAGCGGTTCTCTAGAGTCCCAGGCGGAGATGTCACACAGCACCTACCACCGGATCTTTTTTCACGGGAGAGGCTGGGGATTGAGCCTGGGACCTTCTACTTGCCAAGCAGATGCTCTGCCTCTGAGCCACAGGCCCTCCCCAAATTTTCAGATTTAATTCCTGGTTTTGAACCTCAGGCTGAAGGTCAGGCATTTGGGGACTGTGCCGAGCTTATGCTTTTTGCTTGAAGAATGTCAAAAAATGAATCGCTCTGCCACAAGAACAGATGACATGTGCAGGCATCGATAACTGGTGGTTGAGAGTGCCATTAAATTGCAGCTGACTTATGGCAAGCAACCCGTAGAGTTTTCAAGGCAAGAGATGTTTGGGGAGGGTACTGAAGGTTTGCCGTCGCCTGCCTCTGCGTAGCAACCCTGGACTTCCCTGGTGGTCTCCCATCCAAGTACTAACCAGGGCAGACCATTCTTCGCTTCCAGGATCTGACAAGATCAGGTTAGCCTTTGGCCATCCAGGGCAGAGCAACATCTATAGTTATTGATGGGGGGGGGGTTTTCTCCCAACACATGGCAGTAGTAGGCCAACGATACTTATAATTTTTTCTTCCCCAGGCAGGCCAACTTTTGATGGAATCTTATTCAATTTTTGGGATGAACTCCAGGATTAAAGTTACATAAAGGGAGAAGGGTCCGTTGTTCACAGCACCCATTTTGCGTGTGATAGGTCCTAAATTCAGTCCCCAGAATCTTCCTCTAAAATGATCTTAGAGAGTAGGGCTGGAGAACTTTGTGCCCGCCCACCCCCGCCCCAATCTCTTCTCTCAACACCAGAAATCAGAGGGCCTCCCTGTGTTACAAAGACCTTGGGTCATGAAGGGGTCTGTCAGGAGGACTTTTGGTCAGTCGTACACTGCAGGTTCCTCAGTGAGAACTGAATTTCCATGTGTGTGGCAGCTTAACTAGGATGGGGATCACGGGGCGGGGAAAGAGGATCCTTGAGCTGTGTCCCTACGCCATTTTCCTGGACACGACCTGAGAACTTTGTTACACATCATCAGGTCCCAAGACAGCCCCATCTGCAGCAACCTGAGGTAGTGCGGACCAGTGTTCCCTCTAAGCTGAGTTAGTGTGAGCCAGCTCACAGTTTTTTAGCCTCCAGCTCACAGATTTTTGTCTTAGCTCAGGAAGGACGGCTCCAGAGCAAACTAATTCATCCAGAGCAAACTAAATCGCTGGCTCACAGCTTTAATGCCAGTTGCTCACAAAGTAGAAGTTTTGCACACAAGACTCTACAGCTTAGAGGGAACATTGGTGCGGACTCTGGCCAGTGATGAAAAAGCATTTTCTTTACTAAAAGGGGAAGTTTCAGAAATATTCTAAAGACTCTGGTGCCCACTGTCGGAAGAGGAGGAGGAGGAGGAGAAGTTCAATAGTGTCTGTCAACCATCAGCAGATATCAATTGTGACTTTCCTTTTCCCTGTTAGATCATTAAGTTATAGGAACAGCAGGCGGGTCAATTAATTTTTTCCTCAAGGGTTTGTTGCGTACAATTCAAAAATCAGATGAAGGCTCAGCTTACAAAATTCAGTTGAATCTAGCAGCCGATCGACTACACATTATTCATCGTTTATAGGGCGCTTTCAAAATGCAAAGTATTGCACCATCTTCGATGGTGCCCCCAAATCAAATTTTACTTTTCTGTCCCAGCCACAATATAGTGTCAATGCTATCCAGTGGGAGCTGGAGGTGACACGAGATCCTAGTCACAGGGACCTGCTGGATCAGATCATTGACTGGGCCCAGCTCCTACCTTGTGTCTCTGGGGGCAGCCAGTGGTTAGGGTGACGGGGGTTTGTCTCCTGTCCCGGAGTCTGTCTGTCTCCTCCTCAGCAGTCTTTTGTTGCCTTGCAGAAATGCAAAGGGGATGACTGTTTCCAGCTGCGCTGCCACATGGGGGCGCTGCAGAGGCAGGAGAGGGCCACTTTGCACCTCTGCTTCCGCATCTGGGCCAAGAACTTCCATCAGGTAAGAGCCATGCTCCCTAACTGGCGGTTTCCAGCCCCTGCTTTTCAGCTTTGGGGGTGAATTTCAGTCCCGGGCATCAACAGCCGTGGGTTTACGAGAGATTTCTGGGCACCTACTGGCAGCATCCGTGTCACCATGAGACTCCTTGCAGCTGCCGCGCCTGTCCAGAACCATCCTCCCCCCCCCTGAGCTGACATCTCACTTCTCCGATCTTGAGCTGCGGGTTCAGATGGCATTAAAGAAAGAATCCCAGGGTGGCTTTTTCCAGCGGGAGAGGGTCACCTCGCAGAAGAGATCCACACACACACATCAAGTGTGTTGCCCTATTGCCTGCTCTCATTCCCTTTCTGCTTCCATCTGCACTCTTGCAGCGAGAGAGCTATCCTCAGGCCGTACAGTGTGAGGCCACCTATCACGTGCAAAGGGTGCCCTACAAGATCCAGCCTCAAGAGCTCCCCTCCGCCCCCGTCAAGGTCTGTATTATCCGTTGGTTGATTATTTTTTAATCTATAAAGGTGAAAGGTGTGCCAGTCCATAAGAATTACTCTGCCGGATCAGACCGATGTCTGTCCAATTCATAGAAACATAGCTCTGGAAGGTGCCCCCAAGGGTCATCTAGTCCAACCCCCTGCCCAATACAGGGAATTCACAGCTGTCTCCTCCCCCCACCATTCCCCCAAAGACCCTTGAACTTCCCAGTGACTGGGCTTCAGCACTGGTCTTCCGATAGAGGCTGTCCAGATACCTCTGAGAAACAGGGCGTGATGGAAGCAGCCATTCAAAAAACAGAGATATGCTACTTCTGAACGTGGGGGTTTCATTTGGCTTCACCCGCCTCTGGGTGGGCCAGCCTCAAAATGATAAGCTTAGACAGGAGGTCCATATGGTACGCCAATCAGGTACATGGTACCGCTTTGTTAGCCTCCCTGAGCCTGCTCGCAGGATGGGCGGGGTATAAATATAATAAATATAATAAATAAATATGGTCCCACTGCGATATCTGCAATGACGCCTGGCTTTTGGCTCCACGGGTGATTGTGTCATAACGTTAATCTTTTCTTCCTTTCTGCAAATAGGTGTCGACGTCGCTTTACTGGGCCAAAGCAGAGACCAGCCAGGGGGTTCCTCTCTGGATCATCATCTTAGCCATTCTGATTGGACTGCTGCTACTGGCTTTGCTCATCTATGTACTATACAAGGTACGGTGGCTGGGAGGGAGGCCCAGGGTGACGGGAGGGGCGGTGCTAGATCTCTGCAGGTCCAGACATGTGTCAGGGTTACCTGCGTTGTATGTGGCAGCAAGACTGTCGCAGACTGTGCTGGACTGTGCTGAGACTCCCCATCTTCTTTCTCTATTTCAACCATGGGCGTCACCATGCCTGCTGACAACTTTGCTGGTGCCTGCCAGACGCTTGTAGAAAGTGGGCAGGGCCAGGTGGGGCTTTTGCCCAGCTAGCTTCTGATTGGCTACTGCCTGTGCCGATTTTTGAAAAGGTTGCTTTGGCAGCAGCTGCCAACACAGCACAAGGGTCTTTACTATGTAACTGAAGGTCAACTGCTGCGTTTATTGCACGGTTGGCTGTGCCTCCTACAAGCAGCCATTTTCTGGCAGCCATTTTGTGGCTGTGCCCGGTATGTGGTGCCAGAATTCCAGGGGCTCAGAAAGGTTGGGGACCCCTCATTTAAACAGTGGTAGAAAGTATTTATTTATTTATACCTTCGGCTTATATACCGCCCTAACCCCAAAGGGTCTCTGGGCGGTTTACATAGTAATTCTAACCACATTCACCTAGCTAGGGCCACATTATTTCTGGGGTAGTGTCTGCCTACCAGCACCCAGGCTAGTTGTTCTCCAGCTTCCTTTCTGTGGCTTCGGGTATCGAAGATAGCGCTGGTGGCCATGGGTCTACCCTGTTAAAACTGTCACAATTTTACAGACACTGGGGTGGATCCTCCTCCACCCTGTCACTCCGCTGAGCAATGTTTGAAGCTTTCCTCCGGCAGAAGAGCCCCTTAAGTGGGAAGAAGGCTCCTGGGAGGCAGCTTGCATCCATCACATGAAGACAAACACTCTTGTTCCTTTTTATGAGCAAGCCCTCTTCAAACAGTTTTGTCTAGCGGAACGTTTCCATTTGACTACCAGTTGTAACCAAGTCCCGAACATGCCCCATTTACCTGATTGCTTCTGAATGAAGGGGTTTCTGTGATGGAGAATTTCTCTCCCCCCCCCCCCGGGGACAATCTGACAGCCGGGTAGCCAGTACCTCCGGCATGCAGCATGGACCTGAGAGCAAAACATGCAGTGTTTGAGTTTTGTGGGTTGCTAAGAGTGGCAAGACGGATCCACAGAGGTGCCTCTGTCCTGTGCTTCCGATTACAGCGGACAGTATTTGCCAGAACAGCTAGATTTGAGTCCAGTTGCACCTGGGAGACCAACAATCTTTTCTGGGTGTGGGCGTTGGAGAGTCAGAGCTCCCGGAAATCTCGTTGCTCTCTAAGGTGCTACTGGGCTCAAAACTAGCTGTTCTACTGCGGACCAATATGGCCACCCTCCCCAAATCTTTGCTGTTAATGTCTGTTGTGCTGCCTTGTTGGAAGAAAAAGGGTCTTCCGTGCAATGGGGATCCCTGCCTTTTGTGAGAAGCCACACTGTGCCACAGTGGCCCATCCATTCCAGTATATTCTGTGTCACACAGTGGCCAAAACCCAGGTGCCATCAGGAGGTCCACCAGCGGGGCCAGAACTGCAGAAGCCCTTCCACAGTGGGGGGCCCCCAGGCACCAAGAATACAGAGCACCACTGCCCCAATCCCCTCTTGAAGCTGTCTGTGCTTGTAGCCGCCTCTGTAATGTGCATAAACCCTGATCCCTGATCTCTGTTTTCTTCCCAGCTGGGGTTTTTCAAGCGCTCTCTTCCTTACGGCACGGCGATGGAGAAGGCTCAGCTGAAGCCACAGGCAGCTTCGGAGGCCTAGCAGACCCGGCGTCACCCTCCGCATGTGTGTGCTGTGCATGTGTGTCGCCGCTGCTACCCGGCAACGAGGCACCAGGATGGCCCGCGGTGAGCGCTGGGGAGGGGAGCGGTGCCCACACCAGTGGGGCAAAGACGATGCGGTGCCGCCGGCGCCGGGCCCTGTGGACTGCAACAGAGCCCAGCACGATGCGCCCCTCCTCCACCCCTCGGTGAAAAGGGGCTGCCGGACCAGCCTTCAGAGTCTTGATGCCGCCCCTCCTCCCCCAGTTCCCTGGGGCTCGGATCCTACAAACAAACACACGGTGCCCTGGCTGGGCGTTGCAGTGGGTGTCCCGTTCCCAGCCAAAGGGAATACTTGAAGCCGCCGGAGCGGCCGGTGCTGGCCTGATCTCAGGCCCCCTATGTCGAAGCTGTCTGTTCCGCCCGCCTGTGGGGTCACGAGGGTGCTCGTCTGGACGATGCCCGCGCTGCCGGACCCCTCCGAAATGCCACAGCTCAGCCAAAGGAAGAAGAAGAAGAAGAAAAAGCACAATCACCTCCCAAGTCCAGCTCTTTCTCCTCCGCGGACCGGGATGGAGGATCTTAGGCTCCCCTTCCTGTCTCCCCCTCCCCCCAGCCTGGTTCCCGCGGGGGTCGACGTGGGACAGAGACTGAAGCCAGGGAGGCCAAACGCTCCCCAAATGCCAAAGATTGGCCACGTTGAAGGAAGCCAAGCCATCGCCCGGTGTCGGCCCGGACTTGCCGACGGTCTTCGCACTGATCTCCGGAAACCGCTAGAGAGTTTATTTTTCAGATGCCACTTTAATTATAAAAAAAACAAAACAAAACAAAAAAAATGAGGAAGCTGCTGCCGCCTCCTAGTGGCGGAGACGAGGGTTGCTGTTTTTAATTTAAGATGTCCATGTGCAATAAAAGCTTCCACATTTTCCATGCTGTCTTTTATTGTGAGAAGAGCAGCAGCTATGCACGTTTGCTGCAAGGATAAGGGGAGGGTCAGAGGGCTGTCAGAATTCAAGGAGGCATTATGGGGAGCCCGGGGGTTTTCAACACTCTCTCTCTCTCTCTCTCTCTCTCTCTCTCTCTCTCTCTCACCTCTGCTCGCGCGCTCCCCCCCCCCCCCCCGATATTTTTCACTGGCTAAAATTTAATCATAAGAACACAAGAAGAGCCCTGTTGGATTAGACCAGTAGTCCCTCTAGTCCAGCATCTTGTCTCACGCAGCGGCCAACCAGTTCCTCTGGAGGGCCAGCAACAGGGCACAGAGGCCGAGTCCTTCCCCTGATGTTGCCTCCTGCTTCTGGGATTCAGGGGATTAGTGCCTCTGAATGTGGAGGTTCCCTTCAGTCACCACGGCTGGTAGCCACTGATAAGCCTATCCTCCTCCATGAATCTATCTAATCCCCCTTTAAAGCTGTTTATTCCTGTGGACATCACTACATATTCGGGCAGCGAATTCCACCTTTCAATCACTCTCAGTGTAAAGTATTATTTCCTTTTGTCCATCCTGAACCTACTGCCCATCAGCTTCATTGGGATGCCCTCGAGTTCTAGTATTTTGAGAGAGGGGGAAAAATTTCTCTTTGTCAGCTCTCTCCATTCAATGAATAATTTTATAAACCACTATCATTTCCCCCCTTAGTCATCTCTTTTCTAAGCTGAAAGGTCCCAGACTCTTCGGCCTTTCCTCATAAGGAAGGTCATCCAACCCTCTAATCTTCTGCACTTTTTCCAGCTCTGCAATGTCATTTTTGAGAGACAGTGACCAAAACTGTACACAGTATTCCAAATGAGGCTGCACTATAGATCTATATAGGGATATTACAATATTGGCCATCAGATATATATATATAAAACCCCTAGTATATTGGCACTTTCCAGCTCTCCCATTGGCTGTGCTGTGTGCTCCATCAGCCATTGGCCCGTCAACCGCCACTCAAGAGTACTCGCGTCCCATTGACTGGATGCTGGGTCCGCTCCTCTCCTTCGCCCACTGTCAGCTTGGCCACTCTTCCCTGTCAGAATAAACTGCCAAAACGGCTGTCTCTCTTGATGAAGATGCTTCTACTGCTTGGCTCCTCCATGGCTGGCTACTGAGGTGGGCCAGCAGCTGTCAAACCATTCTCCTCTTCTCCTGCTTTGTGGCTCACTTTGCTTTGGGGTTGTTGCCTGGCAACCAAGCTTGGTTCTGTCAGTAAGAAAGCGGGGGGGAGGCCCTTTCCAGGCCTACTTTGGCCTTTGTGAGGAACTCATTGGGGCCAGTCCTGACTAGGGTTGCCAGCTCCAGGTTGGGAAATTTCTGGAGATTTTGTAGTGGAGCCTACGAAAGCCAGAGTTTTGGGAGGGGAATAGAATGCCATAGAGTCCACCCTCCAAAGCAGTTATTTTCTCCTGGGGGAGAGAGATGTGTTGTCTGGAGTTCAGTTGTGAGACCAGGTCATACTGCAGCCAGTGTGGCATAGCAGTTAGCGCTTCAGAGCAGGGTCTGCCAGAACCAGGTTCTTGCTGTGGAAACTGGGTGATTTCGAGCCAGTCACAGACTTTCAACCTAACCTACCTCACAGGGTTGTTGTGCAGATCAAAAGGGGGAAAGGAGAATGATGTGAGCTGCTTTGGTCCCCACTGCGGAGAAAGACTGTACTTTTCCTAGGTAGAGGCTGCAGGGAGGGGAGAGGAGATGGGAAGCTGAAGGCAGAGGGCCAGATAACGGTAGGTTGATGGTTGGCTGGGAAGGAGATAGCGCTGCCAGCTCCAGGTTGGGAAATTCCTGGAAATTTGAGGGGTGGAGACTGGAGAGGGTGGGGTTTGAGGGGTGGGACCTCAGACATGTACAATGCTATAGATTCCACCCTCCAAACCAGCCATTTTCTGGGGAACCATTCTTGCCAATCTCCAGGTGAGGGCTAGAGATCACTCAGAATTACAACTGCTCTTCAGATGGCAGAGATCAGTTCCCCTGGAAAAAATGGTGATCTCTGTGTCATACCCTGCTGAAGTCACCACAGTAAATTGATGCTGAGTGCCCAAGGCCAGGGCACCCACCCAGAGCCTCTTTCTAGAGCTCATTGTATTTATTTCCACAACAGGCCTTATTCTTAGTTTCCTAATAATCCTTAACATAGTGTTTGACACTTTCATTGAGCTATCCACTATGACCCCAAGATCTTTTTCCCTCTCAGTCTCAGCAAGTTCAGACCCCATTAGCCTATACTTAAAGCTGGGATTTTTTTATCCCAATGTGCATTACTTTACACTTACCAACACTGAACTTCATTTGCCACATTGTTACCCAGTTCGTGGAGGTCCTCTTGGAGCTTTTCACAGCCAGCCTTGGTTTTCTCCATCCTGAATAATTTTGTGTCATCTGCAAATTTGGCCATTACACTACTCAGCCCTAGTTCCAGATCATTGATGAATGAATATAAATAGTACCGGCCCCAGTACCAATCCTTGTGGAACCCCAGAGCTTAGTTCCTTCCATTTTGAGAACTGTCCATTGATTCCTACTCTTTGCTTCCTGTCATTTAACCACTTTTTAATCCATAAGAGAACCCGTCCTCTTATACTATGAATACTAAGTTTACTCAGGAGTCTTTGAAAGTCCAGGTATATAATGTCTACTGGGTCACCGTTGTCTACATGCTTCTTCACTTTCTTAAAGAACTCCAAAAGGTTGGTGAGGCAGGACTTCCCTTTGCAGAAGCCATGCTGATTTTCCAGAGCAGGCTTTGTCCCCCTTTGTGTGTAACAATTCTATCTTTAATTACAATTTTTACTAATTTTCCTGGGACAAATGTTAGGCTGACTGGCCTGTAATATTCTGGTTCCCCTCTGGATCCCTCTGTGTGTAACAATTCTATCTTTAATTACAATTTCTACTAATTTTCCTGGGACAGATGTTAGGCTGACTGGCCTGTAATATCCTGGTTCCCCTCTGGATCCCTTTTAAAAAATTTGGTGTAACATTTGTTACTCTCCAGTCTTCTGGTTATTTACAGGAAAAAAGAGAGGGTGGGGGGCAGACGTGAGGAGGGGCCACTCAGAGCCAAGATGCATATGCAGAGCTGAAATTGGTTCAGGTGGCTGGTAAGGTCCATGGATAGCAGCAAATTAGCATGTAAATACAAGAGTTAAAAGATATGAAAAGGACGCTAGAGTCCAGCAGTACCCCCAAGACAAACCAAGCTCAACCCTGTCTACATGGGTACACTTTCCCAAGTTAGGCTTGATGTAAATCTGAGTGTGTACAAGCAAAGAGAAGAGTTGAATAGCCATGGTGGCAAAACGGATTGAAAAAGTATCACTTTCCCTGGCAATATAAATGGCACTTAATATATGCACCATGGAAGTGCTAGGTGCACCCACCAAGTCAAACCTGTTAGTCAGTGGCAGAGTATAAGGTGTGAAACATGCACTGTTGTCGAGCTCATGTTCACATGTCAAATGGAGAATTACGTCCTGCGTTTTCTTGTGCACTCAAGGGGGAGGTACTGTATCACAGCACATAATTCATCTTTCTCGGCCCTACCCCAAAGAAGATGGAGGAATCAATATCTTTGGCTCTTTCCCCACAAAGCTTTAGCTTGTGTTCTCCCACCCCAAACTGCAGTGGGGTTCTTTCAAGCTAGCGGTCCCTAGCCTTTTTGAGCCTGTGGGCCCTTTTGGGAGTGACACAGGGTGGTGGGCACAGTCACAAAATGGCTGCCCCAGCTTACCTCCAGTCATACAGTGAAGATCCTTGTGCCGTGGTGGCAGCCGCCGCCAAAGCAATGTCTTTAAACATCTGCACAACCAGTCAAATCTCCAATGGTCAATCAGAAACCTTGCCGGTCCCACCCACTTTCTAAAACACACTTGGGCACCAGAAAAGGTGTCAGCAGACGTCAAGTCTCCAATGGCCAATCAGAAGCCTTCCTGGGCAAACAGCCCAGCTGGCCCTGACCACTTTCTAAAAACCCTTAGTGAACACCAGGAAATGTGCTGGGGGCCCACGGCCACCACGTTGGAGACCTCTGTTTTAAGCATTCACGTGACATAATTATGCAATCATGGAATCACAGAGTTTGGAAGGGGCCCTATAGGCCCTCTAGTCCAACCCCCTGCTCAATGCAGGATCAGTCTAGAGCATCCCTGACAAGTGTTGGTCCAGCCGCTGCTTAAAGACTCCCAAGTGAGGGGGAGCTTAACACCTCCCGAGTCAGCCGATTCTAGTGTTGCCGAACTCTGCTTTCAGGTTTTCCTCCTGCCACACAGCTCCCCCCCTCAAAAAAACCACAACAACCTGCTTCTCTGAAAGATCATACTCAAGGCAGCTTTGTTCAGTGTGTGGAGAGGAAGGTGCAGATTTTCAGATCTCTCACCCACATCTGACGCCATTTTCTCTCTATCTCTCACCATCTACCACCCACCCCCATAACCGGCACAATATACTACTGTTTTCCCCCCTAAAATTTACAACAAACACTACAGCATGGGGCTGGGGGGGAAATATCAGGCACTAGGGGAGACCACAGAGAATCCCCTCACAGGGACCATCTGTCCCTGCTGTGGATGTTTGCATTTGCAGCAACCATAACAACACAGAAGAGATTTTTCTAGTGTAGAAGCATCCCCAATACCAGAGTCCATTTCTGAATCTCAAGGTAGTTCAGAGCACACACAAGCATGTGTTTACCAAACAGATACACCAACCAGAGACCCAGTTTGGTGTAGTGGTTAGAAGTGCGAACTCTCATCTGGGAGAACTGGGTTTGATTCCCCACTCCTCCACATGCAGCTGCTGGTGTGACTTTGGGTCAGTCACAAGTTCTTTCAGAGCTGTTCTCTCAAGAGCAGTTCTCAAAAGAGCTCTCAGTTCCACCTACCTCACAGGCAATGCTCCCTCTAAACTATGGAGTCTTTGTGTGAGCAAAAATTCTACTTTGTGACTGGCATTAAAGTTGTGAGTGAGCGATTTGGCTGCTGCATAAATCGATTTGCTCTGGAGCCCTCCTTCCTGAGCTAAGAGAAAAATGTGTGAGCTGGAGGCTAAAAAACTGAGCTAGCTCACACTAATTCAGCTTAGAGGGAACACTGCTCACAGGGTGTCTGTTGTGGGGAGGGGGAAGGACGTTGTAAGCCACTCTGAGACTCCTTCGAGTAGTGAAGGGTGGGATATAAATCCAATCTCTCTTCTCTTTTTCTTCCCTTGAACAAACAGAAACTGTGGCAGTGATCGCTATTTTTGTTTCTGTGCTGTGTGTGGTCATGCTTATTTGTTTTTTGAAAGAATCAAGAGGCTGGTAAATATTAAGAGTTACTTGTCCGAAGCAAAACATTCTGTCTTTATGCAGAGAGGAAACACCAGCACCTTTCATAACAAATAGGTTTTTATTGAGAAAGGTGTCAGAGGGGGGGAACATGACAGCTGGCATTTGCTTTGCGTGGTCACAGTTTCAGGAGACAGAACAAGGAGAGACACGAGTCAGTTAATCCACAGTTCCGTTTTTTCCAAAGACAGGCTCAAGAGCGTACATCACCTGCATCCATTTATTCAAGCACATGTCCTCACAAAGTTGAGACTTTCTACTTCCCAGACCCATCATTAAGAATGACACCCCAAGGCTACAATCCAGCACAAGTCAACCCCATTTGGTGGCAGTGAGACTTGCTTCCGAGTAAACCTACACAGAGTCAGGCTCAAAAGACGAGCATTTAACATTTTTCTCCAATGCTTTTTGAAAAGCTCCTTCGGTACCACAATCCCAACTTTTTCTCTTTTTAACTGTGAACCTGCCAAGAGTGCAAAAGGGTACGAGGCAAAGCTCAGCGTTCTCCCGTGTCGAAAAGAAAGACGAGAGGCACAGCTTTAAACCAAAATGGGGCTTTAAAAACATATATATAAATATCACAGATTGTTTTGCATGCAGGCCCTCCACCCAGGATGCAGAAAGACAGAATGCGTTCTGCTTAATACTCGGTCCCTTTTGTCTACACAAAACATGGATAAGGGGCTCGGCACGAAGGTAAGCAATTGCAACAGAGACCAGGGATTTCTGCAAGGGACAGCCACAGTGGCAATCTAGGACAGAAGTCCCAATGAGTCCACAATGAGGTTCACTTCTGAGCATACATGCTTAGGACAGACCTGTAAAATACATTTACCCTGTCCGCTGTTGCAATTGGTCCCCGTCCGCCCTCCTTGCAGACAAAAAAGGGTTTTTTCACAGTTGTGGTTCTGAAGCTTTGACCTAACCATATTCCACAGCGAGATCTGGAGGAGGGTCACACATTAACAGCAGCTTTGTTAACTCTCTAACCTTCCTGCTAGTTCACCCGCAACTCTGCCCCGAAGGAACTGTCAAGCTTGCTCAGCCCGTCGCCTAATGGTTAGCTTTCTCCACCATAGGGGATCTAGGCTTGTTGTTATTTATAGGCCTGGACTGCAGGTATTTTTCAGCTGTCTCTTTCACCGAACTGGCAATACACGCCTGCCTGAGAGAAAGGATTGGCCTTTGTCCATTTAATTTTGAGGGACCGAAATGACACGGCGTCGCCAAGGGCTTCATTTGGTGAGACATGCATCTGGGGAAACGTGTAAGAGAAAGCCTAGGTTTGACCCACTGCAAGAAGACTAATGGTGGAAAAGAACAAATGGAACCCCCCCACACACACACATAGCGGGAGAAGCCCTGCTTGCCTATAGAATGGCAGGGATGGTCCTTGCACCCAAGGAGAGCGGTAACCCTTTCGTCTCTAGTGTACGGGCTTTAGTTAGCCCGAAGGATTGTAAAGGTGACTCCACCCAAATTTCCCTCTGACTCCCCAGTGTGAAGTTCTGCAGCACCAGGCATGATACTCTGAAATGCCGCCTCCCCGCCACTGCAGGTCTTCCCTTCCAGTGTGCGGCCACAGAGGGAGTGATGCGCTCATTTCACACTGGGTAAACCGAGAAGCCCATGTGAAGGGCATGCCCCCTAGAAGGTATCCCAGAATCCTCTGTGGTGTATAAAAGTGGTTCCTGAGCAGACCAGACCATGGAGAAATGGTCCCCCAGGGGCCCTTCATGGTCAGGATGCTGGAATTTCCTCCACGTCCTGTTGCCATTTTTTCTGCACACTATTGGGAGACGGCGGTGCTCAGTTCCCTATTGTGGGAAGCAATGCTCCCTCTAAGCTGTGGAGTCTGGTGAGCAAAAATTCTACTTTCTCAGCTAGTGGCATTAAGGTTGTGAGCGAGCGATTTGTCTACTGCATACATTCGTTTGCTCTGGAGCCCTCCTTCCCGAGCCAAGACAAAAATGTGTGAGCCGGAGGCGGAAAAACTGCGAGCTGGCTCACACTAACTCAGCTTAGAGGGAACACTGGCGGAAAGCTTTGCCTGCCGCTCCCTGCGTCTCAGAAATCAGCAGGCAAAGTTAAGTGAAAGGCACAACAGCAGTCCCAGCTGGGTTTTTAAGAAATTCCTTGATATTTGGCCAATCCTCTAGTTTTTGGGAGGACGAGAAACAAAGGCACGGATCACTTTCTCTCTATGGGAGGGATGGGGAGAGAGAGAGAGACGGAGAGACAGAGAGAGACTGGGAACTACATCTGGCATCTAAGGGAAAGTCAGGTAAGAGAAGGAAGGCGTTTCCTCCCCCCTTCCCTTCTGGCCTCCCTCCCGTTTCCCCTAGAGGCCACCAGCTCGACTATAGCAGGGAAGGCACTTGGGGGTGAGGGCATTCAGAAAAGGGCCCGCTCCACGCGGCATGCCGTAACGGCTCAGTTGGACAGCACGTCAGAGGACTCGGACACCAGCTTCCCGTCCCGGGTCTCGATCTTCTTGATCACGATGGCCTTCGACTTGGTGGTGACCGAGCTCTCCAGAGGGAACGAATTGGTGGAGTAGCCGCCGCTCGAGTAGGAAGTGCTGTAGCCACCCCCGTAGCTACTGAAGCCACTGGAAAGGCCGCCTGGGAAAGAAAGAGAGAGCAGGTCGAATTTGTGGATTTTTGGATAGACAAAGGCAGGGGTTGTTTCGTAGAAAAAGAGCTAGGGGGACTCATTAGCATAACTCATTAGCATATGCCGCACCCCCTGACACCACCGGAAGTGTGTCATAAGGCCACACACCCCACCCCCAATGTTCCTGGCCGCTGCCACCGGCCTTGCAGCTCCACTGCCGAGCCCCATGAGGGGCGGTGGACCTGCAAGGCCGGCGGGAGTGCAAGGAAGCCCCGCGAAGGCCCTCCCTGGCCCCAGGCAGGCAGGGGTGGGGAGAGGCAGGGAGGAAGCAACTTACCCTCCCTCTTCTCCTGCCTCCTCCTGGCTGAATGAGGGCCGGAAGTGGGGCGGCCGGAAGCAGGGGGCGGGGCTTCATCATGTGCCCCGCCCCCTGCACCTCACCCGGGGGAACTGCGATCCCCCGCGATTCCCCCCGAAATGACCTCTGGACAAAGGCATGTGTTTCCCAATGATTAAAACCGGAGGTTTGGTTCACATAAGAAAACCAGAAGAAGCTCTGCCGGATCAAAGCAGTGGTCCGTCTAGTCCAACATCAGTTGCATTGGAGGGCCAAGAAACAGAGTATAGAGGCATCTTCCCCTAACATTGCCTCCTGGCACTGGTATTAAGATGTGCTGTATATGCCAGGGCTCTATTTGTAGAAAAAGCCCAGCAGGAACTCATTAGCATAACAGGCCACACCCAACAGCAGGAACTCATTAGCATATTGGGCCACACCCCTGACAGCACAGCTCATTAGCACATTAGGCCGCACCCCCATGGTACCAGAAGTGTGGTTATCCAGCCACACCCACCTTCTGCTTGTTATTCTGTTTACCTTGTTTGTTGTCAAAACCCAGGGCCTTTTTTTGTAGCAGGAACTCCTTTGCATGTTAGGCCACACACCCCCAATGTAGCCAATCCCAATGAGTTTCTGCTGTTGGGTGTGGCCTATTATGCTAATGAGTTCCTGCTGGGTGTGGCCAACTTGGGAGCCAGCCGGAACTCCGTTCCTGTGCGTTCCTGCCCAAAAATAGCCCTGGATGTACCTTTAGTCACCAGGCCAGCTTGGCCCAGGGATCCTGGAGGGTTTTTGTCTTCCTCTGGGCAGCGAGCAGAGGTCACTGGGTGGGGGGGGTAGTTGTGAATTTCCTGTGTTGTGCGGGGGGGGTTGGACTAGATGACCCTTGAGGCCCCTTCCAGCTCTATGTCTGTTTCTTCGTGACCCAAAAATGGCCATCCGAATCCCTGGGGCAAAGGACTGGCGCCATATCTCCCTTCCAACAAAGGGCAAACGTTCTTAAAAGGGCAAACGTTCCTTACCGGAGTAGCCAGTCGTTTTGGTCTGGATGCTCATGTTCTGCATCCCTGTTTCCAGCCTGCCGGAGGACAAATGAAACATCATTAAGCGATAACCAAGGTGGGTATGTACCAAAAACATAGACCCAAGCTAGCCTGGAGGGAGAATAGTTTTATCAATACACTAATAAAAGTGGTACATTCGCCAGAAGACAGAGAAACAAACCCGCTGCTGGGGATGGTTGGTTTCTAGAGACCTGGAAGGCTAAAGAGGCTGAAACCTCAAGAGTCTCCCTCCCCCTCCAGGCAGGCACCGTGCCGCAAACGGAGGACACCTCAGGTGACTCTGTTTTTCCACTTCCACACATGCAGGCGAGGTGCCAGAGGAATCCAGGAGTGGACAAACTCTGCTTGGCACGCAGAAGGTCCCAGGTTCAATAGCCGGCATCTCCAGTAAAAATGATCAAGTAGCGGTGATGTGGAAAAACCTCTGCCTCAGACCCTGGGCTCCCCGCCAAGTCAAGCTGCACAAGCCAATGAAGACCCAACAGAGAAGGCAGCCTCGATGAACGCACACAAATGAACACACAAGAGGAGGAGGAGGAGATTAGATTTATACCCCGCCCTTCACTCGGAGTCTCAGAGAGGCTCACAATCTCCTTTCCCTTCTCTTCCCCGCAACAGACACCCTGTGAGGTAGGTGGGGCCGAGAGAGATCTGAGAGAAACTGCCCTTTCAAGGACAGCTCTTATCAGAACTATGGCTTGCCCAAGGTCATCCAGCAGCTGCAAGTGGAGGAGTGGGGAATCAAACCCGGTTCTCCCAGATTAGAGTTCGCGCACTTAACCACAAAACCAAACTGCCTTATTCTAAAATAGAAACATTGTCTCATCAAGGCCAGTACTGTATATTCAGACGGGCAGACGCCGGGTCTGAGGGAAAGGTCTTTCATATCACTTACTGCCCAGTCCTTTCAACTGGAGGTGCCGGGAACTGAACCCGGGATCTTCTGCATGCCAAACAGAGAGTCTTGAGCTGAGCCACAGCCCCTCCTTTGAACTAGCCCAGGTGTATTTCTGAGGGGGAAAGACGTGGGGAAACCAAGGCTCTCTTGAGTCCTCAGCAATTCCTCTGCATGCAGGAGCCACACCTGCACAGAGCAGGATCGTAACCCACAAGCACGCACCCTAACGCTGGCTTTAGTCCAGCTCAAATTATTCCTGAATAAGTCATAAATGATGCTCCGCTGCAAACTTCGCTCGAGACCCATCGCTCTGAACAGAACTTAACCATAAAACGAATCTGGGGACAGAGCACAGGGTTCCCACTTGCCTGCTTATGGTGGGAGACCTCCAGGCAATTGTAGCGGAAATGGGGGGCACCATTAAGATTGCCAACCTCCAGATGGGGGCTGGAGATCTCTCTGGAGAAAATGGCTGCTTTGGAGGGTGGACTCTATGGCATAATACCCGGCTGAGGCCCCTCCCACTAGCTTCCCTAAGCCCCACTCCCAAATCTCCCAGGGATTTCCCAACCTGGAGCTGGCAACTCAAGGAACCATTGTCCCGGGAGAAAAATTAAAAAGAAAAATAAGGCCTTGACTACTTACAGGAAGTTCTGACCACAGAGTTCCTGGTGATTCCTAGAGCTACCCCTGTCACTTCCAGGGATGCTGCCCTGCCATGACCCTCCTGCCAGTTACTAGGCAGTGCCTGGTAACCCTAGGACTGCAGGCCATGTCCAAGTAAAGTGATAGAACTTGCCCATCGCCTGCTGTGCATCCTCACACTGAAGCAGCTGTCTCTGGTTTAGGAGCAACTCGGGTTGCCAGGTCCAACTCAGGAAATATCTGGGGACTTCGGGGGTGGAGCCAGGAGACTTTGGGGGTGGAGCCAGACCAAGGATGTGTAATCACTTTTGTGATGCCACTAAGGTTGCCAGGTGAGGTCGACAAGCCAGAAGAAGGTTCTGGCCGTCACATTTAAAGGGACCGCATTCCTTTTAAATGCTTTCCCTCCATTGGAAATAATTGAGAATGGGGGCACCTTCTTTTGGGGCTCATAAAATTGGACCCCCAGTCCAATCTTTTTGAAACCTGGAGGGGTTTTTTTTCTCAGAAGAGGCACCACCAGCGATGCTGAAAATTTGGAGCCTCTACCTCAAAAAACAGCCCCCTCCCCAGATCCCCACAAATCAATTCTCCATTATATTCTATGGGGACCAGTCTCCATAGAGTATAATGGAGTGCCCAGCAGCCACCCCACCCCCCCGCTTTCTGACAGCCCTGAAGTGGGGGAGGGGGTCCAAACCAGGGATCCCCTGCCCCCAACTGGAGGGAGTCTGCGTCAGGAAGGAGGCAACTCGGCAAAAATTTCTGCTGCCGGTGAAAAACGAGCATTGGATCCAAGCCAGTATTCTGGATCTCCGGAAGGACAACAAACAAGGGCCTGTGATTTGCAAGGGGCCAGAAGACACTGACCGCCTCAGGCTCCTCCTAAGGCAACTGGGGCCTGTGCCACAGCCAGAGGGGCACTGACACTGGCCGGCACCCACCTGCTCTCCTCTCCTTCCAGCAGCTTCCTGTAGGTGGCGATCTCGATGTCCAGGGCCAGCTTGACGTTCATCAGCTCCTGATACTCCCGTAGCTGCCGGGCCATGTCCTGCTTGGCCCTCTGGAGGGCGGCCTCCAGCTCCGCCAGTTTGACGCTGGCATCCTTGACGGCCATCTCCCCGCGCTCCTCAGCCTCGGCAATGGACGCTTCCAGGTTGGCACGCTGAGCAAAGGGGGAAAGGAAAAGATGTCAGTCCAGGGGCTTGTTAACCCAAGATGGAAAATGGGATTTTGCAGGAGTGCTGGAATTCCACGACCATTTGGGAGGAGGGGCCTTCTGGCTTCCTGAGGGCCCGTTCTGGGTTTGGAGGGGCCTTTCCTCTCCCTGCCGCAGCTCTCGTTCACACACACCCTACCGCCTGGCCTGCCAAACCTTCCCCCACCGGGTTGCTTGGCTCGCGTACTTCTCCAAAGGTTCAGGCTTCCCACAGTGGCAAGAGGGCTTGTGAACGGGCAGGTGAGGGAAGCACACATGGGTGGGTGGTGGCCACAGGCCCCCCACCGCATACCCTACACTAGGGTTGCCAGGGTCCCCTCGCAATTGGTGGGGGGACGGCGGGGGGGACTTGTGAACAGTGGAGGAAGGCCTAGACTGGTGCTGTGGTGATGCCACTTCTGGTGCTCACCAATAGAAACTGCTTTTACCATAGAGGTTTTGCCTAAATACCAGCACATCCTGCATCGCTGCGTTGCTGGTGACATGGGTTAAGCCTTCCCCCATTGGCAGTAAGTTACCCCCGGCCAGCTGATTGGCATCTGGAGGTTCCCCCACCTCTGGGGAGGGGCCTGGCAGCCCTCTTCAGGGCCCTGGCAATTGCCCCACCTCAGCATATACAGACCCCAGCCCTGGGGCTGCTACAAGGGTGAGGAGGGCTGTGGGAACCTGTGGGACAGGGCAGGGCTGGGAACGATGGTAAGTTGAGACTCTGAACTGAATGGCCTGAGGGCAACCTCCCGCAACATTAATGTCTGTGAACTACAATTCCCAGAATACAGTGGGGCAGAGGAAGCGACAGAGGAATAGAGATGGAGGAGCTGGGCAGAGGAGAAGAAGAGGAGATTGGTTTTATACCCCACCCTTCACTACCCAAAGAAGAAGAAGAGAAGAGATTGGATATATACCCTGCCCTTCACTTGGAGTCTCAGAGCGGCTTACAAACTCCTTTCCCTTCCCCTCCCCACAACAGACACCCTGTGAAGTGGGTGGGGCTGAGAGAACTCTGACACAAACTGCTCTTTTTCAAGGACAGCTGTGCCAGAGCTTGTGACTGACCCAAGGTCACATCAGCAGGTGCAAGTGGAGGAGTGGGGAATCAAACCCGGTTCTCCCAGATTAGAGTCCGCACACTTAACCACTACACCAGACTGGCTCTCTCAGAGCGGCTTACAGTCTCCTTTCCCTTCCCCTCCCCACAACAGACATCCTGTGAGGTAGGTGGGGCTGAGAGAGCTCTTTCGAGGACTGCTCCTGAAGAGAACAGCTCTGAGAGAACATTGACTGACCCAAGGTCACACCAGCAGCGGCCTGTGGAGGAGTGGGGAATCAAACCTGGTTCTCCCAGATTAGAGTCCGTGCCCCTAACCACTACAACAAACTGCATTTTGGGGGCCTTTGGCCCTGGGGATGCCAGGGATTGAACCTGAGGCCTTCTGCATGCCAAGCAGATGCCCTGCCACTGAGCCAGGGCCCCTTCTGGTCTTTTGCTGCTCAGGGAATTCTGCAAAGTGTCCTGTATCTTCATGATGCTGCATTGACCAGTCACAACCAGTGCTCCCTCTAAGCTGAGTTAGTGTGAGCTAGCTCACCGTTTTTTAGCCTCCAGCTCACACATTTTTGTCTTAACTCAGGAAGGATGGCAGCTTTTAAACTGAATATTGGGGGAAAGCCGACAGGAGATGAAAAGTCTCTGGTTCGGGTTGGCTCATCTGAGAGAGGTGAGGGGGTACCGGTTGCTTTTCTACAGGGAGGTGGATTGAAATTGTCCACAGAGGCCATGGCTGGTGACATGGACTGCCGGACAACGACTCGAGATAGCAAGAGGAAGGATGCAGGCTTAACTTGTAAGGGAAATTACAGCTGTTTCTATACAAATGCTAGAAGTGTCCGAGGTAAAATCGGGGAGTTGGAGTGCTTGGTGTCGGAGGGAAAAATAGACATTGTGGGTATTTCTGAAACTTGGTGGGATGAGGAAAATCAGTGGGACACAGTGATTCCCGGTTATATATTATATCGGAAGGATAGGGGGGGAAGGGTTGGAGGTGGGGTAGCTCTGTATGTCAGAGAGGGTATAAAGTCTAGAAAGATTGAGAGGCTAAGTGAATTGGATTCGCTTCTGGAAGTTCTATGGGTTGAAATAGGGGGGCCAAAAGGAAACTTAACACTGGGAGTTTGTTATCGCCCACCAGATCAAAAGATAGAGGAGGATTATAAAATGATGAATGCCTTAAAGATAGCAACTAGACAAAAACACTGTGTAATAATAGGTGATTTTAACTACCCACACATTGATTGGGTCAATATGTGTTCTAGCCGGGAAAAAGAGATTGAGTTTCTAGACACTCTAAATGACTGTGCTATGGAGCAGATGGTCACGGAACCTACCAGGGGAGAGGCGATCCTTGATTTGGTCCTAAGTAACACTCAAGACCTGGTGAGAGATGTAAAAGTGATTGCACCGCTTGGAAACAGTGATCATAATGTTGTTGAGTTCATCATTTGTACAAATAGAGAATTGGCCAAAAAGACTCACACAACCATTTTTAACTTTAAAAGGGGTAATTTCTCTGATATGAGGGGACACGTGGGGAGGAAACTGAAAGGAAAAGTAGAAAGGGTCAAAACAATTGGGGAAGCTTGGGATCTATTTAAAACTACGATCCTAGAAGCTCAAAAAATATATATTCCGCAGGTTAGGAAAGGCACAAACAGGTATAGGAAAAAGCCTGCATGGTTAACAAACAGAGTAATGGAGGCTGTAAAAAGTAAAAAGAATTCCTTTAAGCAGTGGAAAGCTAGTCACAGTGAGGCTGATAAAACGGAACACAGGCTATGGCAAATAAAATGCAAGTCTGAGGTCAGGCAGGCAAAAAGGGAATATGAGGAGCATATAGCAAAAAACGTAAAAACCAACAATAAAACTTTCTTCAAATACATTAGAAACAGGAAACCAGCCAGGGAGGCAGTGGGGCCCTTGGACGACCAAGGGGTAAAAGGAGTATTGAAGGATGATAGGGAAATGGCTGAGAAGCTAAATGCATTTTTTGCCTCCGTCTTCACTGTGGAAGATGAGAAGTGCTTGCCCACTCCAGAACCACTGATTTCAGGAGGGGTGTTGGAAGACCTGAGTCAGATTGAGGTGACGAGAGAGGAGGTCCTAAAACTGATAGACAACTTAAAAACTGAAAAATCACCAGGCCCAGATGGCATACATCCGAGAGTTCTGAAAGAACTCAAATGTGAACTTGTAGATCTCCTGACAAAGATATGTAATCTTTCCTTAAAATCTGCCTCCATTCCTGAGGATTGGAAGGTAGCTAATGTCACTCCCATCTTTAAAAAGGGTTCCAGAGGAGATCCGGGAAATTACAGGCCAGTCAGTCTGACGTCGATACCGGGTAAATTGGTGGAAACCATTATTAAGGAAAGAATTAGTAGGCACATAGATGAACAAAACCTATTGAGGCAGACTCAGCACGGTTTCTGTAAGGGAAGATCTTGTCTCACTAACCTGTTAGTGTTCTTTGAGGGGGTGAACAAACATGTGGACAAGGGGGATCCAATAGATATTATTTACCTTGACTTCCAGAAAGCTTTTGATAAAGTTCCTCATCAAAGGCTCCTAAGTAAGCTCAAAAATCATGGGATAGAAGGACAAGTCCTTTTATGGATCAAAAACTGGCTAGTTCATAGAAAACAGAGAGTGAGTGTAGGTGGGCAATTTTCTCAGTGGAGGGTGGTAAGCAGTGGGGTACCGCAGGGATCAGTACTTGGTCCACTGCTTTTTAACTTGTTCATTAATGATTTGGAGATGGGAGTAAGCAGTGAAGTGGCTAAATTTGCGGATGATACAAAGTTGTTCAGGGTGGTGAAAACCAGTGAGGATTGTGAGGCACTCCAAGGGGATCTGTCAAGGATGGGCGAGTGGGCGTCAACATGGCAAATGGGGTTCAATGTGGCCAAGTGCAAGGTGATGCACATTGGAGCCAAAAATCCTAAATATAAATACACATTGATGGGGTCTGAACTGGCAGAGACTGAGCAAGAGAGAGATCTTGGAGTTGTAGTGGATAACTCACTGAAAATGTCGAGACAGTGTGTGACTGCAATAAAGAAGGCCAATGCTATGCTGGGGATTATTAGGAAGGGTATTGAAAACAGATCAGCCAATATAATAATGCCCCTATAAGGACGTCCTTCTTCACCCAAAGAGTGATTAACACATGGAATTCACTGCCACAGGAAGTGGTGGGTGCTACAAGCATGGATGGCTTCAAAAGGGAATTAGATAAGCATATGGAGCAGAGGTCCATCAGTGGCTATTAGCCACAAGGTATAGCTAGGGGCTCTGGGGCAAGTGATGCTCTGTCTTCTTGGTGCTTGGGGGGGGGGCCAACAGGGGGGGGGCTTCTAATGTCCTGGCCCCACTGCTGGACCTCCTGATGGCACTGGTATTTCTGGCCACTGTGTGACACAGAGTGTTGGACTGGATGGGCCTTTGGCCTGATCCAACATTGGCGTCTCTTATGTTCTTATGTTCTTAATGTATGCAGGAGCCAAATCACTCACTTACAACTTTAATGCCAGTAGCTCACAAAATAGAATTTTTCCTCACAAGACTCCACAGCTTAGAGGGAACACTGGTCACGACCCAAGCGCTGGCTTCCGAATTGCCAGTTGCTTCCTCACCTGGCCTTTCAGACCGTCGATTTCAGACTGTATCCGGCTAATCATCCTGTTGAGCTCATTGATTTCGTTCTTGGTGTTGCGGAGGTCATCCCCGTGCCTGCCCGCCACAGTCTGGAGCTCTTCGTACTGCATGGAAAAGAGACAAAAATCGTACATGGTTCTCTGTGTTAAAGCAAAGGCAGGAATTGGGAAGTGGTAGGGAGGACGGGGGGTTGGCAGCAAAGACCAGAAACTGGGGAATCACTCAGAATGAGCGGGGAAACCCTCTGTGGACACTTCGAGCAAAAACCCACTTCTTCACCCTTGCCGTTATTGGTTTGCCATGTAAATGGCTGGTTGGTTGCGTAAGCTCTACACATTAGGAGACAGCAACCCCCGTACGTCTGGAGGAACGGACAGGGGGCTAGAGCAGGAGCGGGTAGAGAGCTGTCAAGTCAGAGCTGACTTATGGTGACCCCCTCGAGTTTCATTTATTTATTTAAATTTGTCCCCCGCCCTCCTCGCTGTGGCAGGCTCAGGGTGGCTCACATAATAGAAGCACAACAACAATAAATATCACAGACATCTAAAAAATAATCCATCAAACAATTCATTAACAATTCATTAAAACCAACTTAAAGGTAAAGGCAAAGGTTTCCCTTGCTCGAAAGCCAGTCGAGTCCGACTCTAGGGTTGCGGTGCTCATCTCCGTTTCAAAGCCGAAGAGCCAGCGCTGTCCGAAGACGTTTCCGTGCTCATGTGGCCGGCATGACTAAACACCAAGGCGTACGGAACGCTGTTACCTTCCCACCGAAGTGGTACCTTTTTATCTACTTGCAATTTCTTCCTTTCGAACTGCTAGGTTGGCAGGAGCTGGAACTAGAGACGGGAGCTCACTTCGTCGTGCGGCAACCCGGGTCTCGAACTGCTGAACTACCGACCTTCCACAGCCTGCAGTTCAGCGTCTTAACCACTTGAGCCACCGCAGCTCCTAAAACCAACTTACATTATATTAAAGTGCTAGCAGCTGACATAATATCAAAAGATGGCCTCCTACATTCTGTAAATTCACTTGATATTCAGCTCATTGGTCGTTCTCGGTTTCGGGCAGCAAGCACGGGCTATCAATAATAGACCAGGCACCAGGCTTCTATTGTTGCTAGATCGATGGTAGTAATGATAATAGATGGTGATGCTGGTACTGATGGCAATGGTGGTAGCTCCTAATTGAAGGCCTGGTGGAAGAGCTCCGTCTTACAGGCCCTGCGGAACTGCAAAAGGTCCTGCAGGGCCCTGATCTCTTCTGGGAGCTCATTCCACCAGTTTCCAAGGCAAGAGACATTCAGAGGTGGTGGTTTGCCATTGCCCGCCTCTGCGTTGAGACCCTGGACTTCCCTAGTGGTCTCCCATCCAAGTACTAACCAGGGCTGACCCTGCTTAGCTTCTCAGATCAGATAAGATCAAGCTAGCCTGGGCCATACAGGTCTGGGCGGAGTGCAGAGACCTGGGTTCAAATCATGACTCAGCCTGGAATACCACTGCACAGGATACCACTCACTCTCACTCTCTTCCACTTAATTTACCTTGGGCCTGATCTATAAACACCAGACAGTGAAGTGGTAGGATGGATTATACCAGTGATGGCGAACCTTTTAGGGACCGAGTGCCCAAACTGCGACCCAAAACCCACTTATTTATCGCAGAGTGCCAACACGGCAATTTAACCTGAATAATGAGGCTTTACTTTAGAAAAAACAACTCATACATTAACTTAAGATGATCCAAACAAAGTAAGGAAAGCAATCCGAAATGCTTTCATTTACTTAAAATTATTTGGCAGAGAATTCGACACTTTAATGATGGTCTGGGCCTGGCTGGGGCGATGGCACGCGTGCCCACAGAGAGGGCTCTGAGTGCCACGTCTGGCACCTGTGCCATAGGTTCGCCACCACTGGATTATACTATGGACTGGACTGGGGGGGCGCATGGTATCTTAAAGGCTGCTATGCCCAGGGGTGGAATTCTAGCTCAGGAAGAAGGTTGGCCCCCATCGATGCTAGGAGGACCACCTCTGCTCCTCGTCTGCCACCCAGACTAGTACCATTTGCCACAAGCAGCCCAGAAAAAACTAGAACGAATATGTGCTGAGCCAATAACTCTTGTCCTCTACTCAAAGGAGTGTGTTTTGAGTGAAACAAAAAGGAAACTGGAATTTCATTTCCTAACTATGAAAAAAGATGAAATACTGAGAACACAAAGCAATAATTACAAGGTAGGTTGGGCCCATACTTTAACGTCACCACCCAGCACCACCCTGGGTCCCCAACCCTGCCCCTACGTTACTCATTCCCATTAAACGTAAAAGCGGAATGCATGCAGACAAGCAAAGCCACAACCGCATGCGATAATTTCCCATTATTTTTAGAGTCGTTTTTAGAGTAGCAAGCACCCGCACCCACCCCCAATCTAAAGTGGTACAGCCTCCTCAGAATTCCACCCTCTTCGTCTGCACTGTGTGTGGACAAGGTCTCAGAGGGAAGGGTCGTTTCCTTTCCAGACTTCCAGGAGAAAAGGTGGTGGCAGAACAATGATTAATTAGGAAAAGAGTTCCCGGTTTGTTTTTTTTAATTTCTGCATGACTAAGGCAGTAAGTGGGGAGGGAAGACAGTACGATGCAGCTTGATCTTATCAGATCTCAGAAGCTAAGCAGGGACAGTACTTGGAAGGGAGGCCACCAAGGAAGGCTCTGCAGAGGAAGGCCATGGCAAAGCCACCTCTGCTTCTCACTTGCCTTGAAAGCCCCTTGCTGGGGTTGCCACAAGTCGACTGAGACTCAATGGCACCTTTACATGCATACAAGGCAATAAGTGGGGAGGGAAGGCGGTGCAGGATAGCCCAATCTCGTCAGATCTCAGAAGCTAAGCAGGGAGAGTCCTTGGAAGAGAGGCCACCAAGGAAGGCTCTGCAGAGGAAGGCCGTGGCAAAGCCACCTCTGCTTCTCACCTGCTTTTCCCTTGAAAGCTCCTTACTGGGGTCGCTGTAATTTGGCTGCGACTCGATGACACTTTACCCTCACACACACAATTAAGTAATGTGCTACATAGTGTCGTGGGGTGGCGAAGGAAATTAAATTTGAATCAGTGCAGCCATGCTCATGCTGGGTGGCCTCGAGCAAACCATTACCCCTCCGCCCCACCCTCCCTCCAACTGCTGCAAAAAAATCATTTGAGATGTTAATATATGGGAACTGCGCCAGGGCGCCCTATAAATGCTAAGTGAGATGATTCGCATGGCGGGTGTCAAAGGGCAATGGGTAGACGGGCTGGTCCAGTCAAACGCCATTTGCATTCCAGACTCTCTCTGCAGCCAGTTTGGGAGAGCCAGTTTGGTGCAGTGGTTAAGAGTGTGGACTCTAATCTGGGAGAACCGGGTTTGATTCCCCACTCCGCCTCCACATGCAGCTGCTGGTGTGACTTCGGGTCATTTACAAGTTCTCTCAGAGCTGTTCTCTCAAGGGCAGTTCTCTCTGAGCTCTCTCGGCCTCACCTACCTCCCAGGGTGTCTGTTGTGGGGAGGGGAGGGGAAAGGAGACTGTAAGCCACTCTGAGACTCCTTTGGATAGTGAAGGGTGGGGTATAAATCCAATCTCCTCCTCCAGCCACGAGGGCTAGAAACGTTTCAGTCCTCAGATTTAAAACAAAACCTCTCCATTCGGGGATGTTTCTGACATGCTAGCATACGAGCCTCTGGGCACAGAGCACGGAGTGGGGATGGGGAGGCAGCTGTGAATTTCCTGGTCTGTGCAGGGGGTGGGACTAGGTCCTTCCCCTCCCCACAACAGGCACCATGTGAGGTAGGTGGGGCTGAGAGAGCTCTGAGAGAACTGCTCTCGAGAGAACAGCTCTGAGAGAACAGTGGCTTGCCCAAGCTCACCCAGCAGCTGCATGTAGAGGCATGGGGACTCAAACCCGCTTCTCCCAGATTAGAGTCCATGCTCCTAACCACTACACCAAACCACTAGTGATGCAGGAGGAGAAAGCAGGAAAGACCTAGGCGGTCAAGCCTGCAGATAGCTGGATGCACCCCATTTTATCTGGGCTGTTGTTATATAAATGCCCTGACTTGGACGGCCCAGGCTAGCCTGATCTTGCCAGAACTCAGAAGCTAAGCAGGGTTGGCCCTGGTTAGTACTTGGATGGGAGACCACCAAGGAAATCCAGGGTGACCAGACACAGAGACAGGCGAAAGCGAACCACCCCTGAATGTCTCTCGCCTTGAAAACCCTACGGGGGTTGCCGTTAGTCAGCGGTGACCTAACAGCACTTTACACCACCATGATATTCTATAAATGAAAAATGTTCTGATGGCATTTTTTATTCATGGGTTAAACATTAACCATTTTAACTCATGGATAACTAAAGTCAACACTGCACAGGAGCATTCCACAGTGTGCCCCGCCACCAATCACATTATGCTACAGGTGCATTTCTTTTTCCCTTCTGGGAGCAGGTCCTACCCAACAGGCAGAGAATGGGAGGGGCCCTGGCTCAGTGCCTGAGCATCTGCTTAGCCGGCAGAAGGTCCCAGATTCAATCCCTGGCAAATCCAGTTACAGGATATGGCAGCAGGTGATGTGAAAGACCTGCACCTGAGACCAACGCTCCCCTCTACGCTGTAGAGTCTTGGGAGCAAAAATTCTTCCTTAAGACCTACTGGCATTAAAGTTGTGAGCCAGCCATTTGGCTACTGCATAAATTAGCTTGCTCTGGAGCCGTCCTCCCTGAGCTAAGACAAAAAACTGAGCTGGCTCACATTAACTCAGGTTAGAGGGAACACTGCCTGGGACCCTGGTCTGGGCAGACAATACTGACTTTGATGGGCCAGGGTCTGATTCAGTATAAGTCAGCTCTGTGTGACAGATGGCTCAAATCAAACTGGAAACCAAGGGGCACGTGTCATTCTGTGCTCCTTCCTACAATCCGGACCCAAAGCCACAGGAAGTGGTGGCGGCTACAAGCATGGACGGCTTCAAAAGGGAATTAGATAGGCATATGGAGCAGAGGTCCATCAGTGGCTATTAGCCACAAGGTATAGCTAGGGGCTCTGGGGCAAGTGATGCTCTGTCTTCTTGGTGCTTGGGAGGGCCAACAGTGGGAGGGCTTCTAATGTCCTGGCCCCACTGGTGGGCCTCCTCATGGCACCTGGTATTTTTGGCCACTGTGTGACAGAGTGTTGGACTAGATGGGCCTTTGGCCTGATCCAACATTGGCGTCTCTTATGTTCTTATGTTAAGCCTGCCCTGAATTTCAGAACTGCTTCTCTTTGGTAGAAGCTAAGCCAGTAGGTGCAGACACATGCATGCACCCCGCTCCTAAGGCACTATGCAGCCCATGGTTGGCGGGGGGGGGGGGCTGTTGCTGAACCAGAATACAACAGAAAGGCTTCTGGCACACTGCCAGCTGAAGCCGTCGCCAAACGATGGGAGAAAATGCTGGCAAGTCGACTGAAGTCCTGGCAAGTCGGCCTATGGGGTTTTTTTCAGGGCAAGAGTCGTTCAGAAGTGTTTGGCCACGGCCTGTCTCTTGTGTTGCAATCCTGGACTTCCCTGGTGGTCTCCCATCCAAATACTAACCAGGGCCGTCCCTGCTTAGCTTTCAAGATCTGACACGATCGGGCTTGCCTGGGCCATCCGGATCAGGGCGGCCACTGAATACCCGTGTTCCACAAGGCTACAAGTTGTCTCCAGCTTTCTGAAAAGGCGGGGTTAATCATTATTCCAAGTCAATACAGGAAATCAGTTCATTCCCCAAACGTTTCCCCCACCCCTTCGTCACGTAAGTTGCTTGGCTCAGCCAGGCTGCATGCCAACGCACTGGCTCCACTCTGGAAGGCGGCTCAACTCCATGGATGGCTTATCTTGATGCTGGGACTGATAATGTTAGTCGACGGCCTTCTTTTGAATGAAACATGAGCAGCCTGCAGCTTCCAGGAATTCAGGTGCCGACATCCCTCTCGCAATCAAGAGATACAAAAGAAGAACCCCCTTTCGAAATCCATGCTCGAGATAAGTCATCTGGAGAGCAGACAGCTAATCTAACACACTGGCTGGGATGAGAACCAGGAAGTCCTTGATCTGAATCACGCTTTAGCCTCGAGCAAGCCACTATCTCTCTGTCTCATCACTCCATCCATTCTGAAATATTTTTAAAGGTAAAGGTAAAGGTTCCCTTGATCGAAAGCCAGTCGAATCCGACTCTAGGGTTGCGGTGCTCATCTCCGTTTCAAAGCCGAAGAGCCAGCGCTGTCCGAAGACGTTTCCGTGGTCATGTGGCCGGCATGACTAAAAACCAAGGCGCACGGAACGCTGTTACCTTCCCACCGAAGTGGTCCCTATTTATCTACTTGCAATTTCTTGCTTTCGAACTGCTAGGCTGGCAGGAGCTGGAACTAGAGACAGGAGCTCACCCCATCTTGCGGCACCCGGGTCTTGAACTGCTGAACTTTCCACAGCCTGTCCAAGTGGGACAGGCTACACCCTGGCCACAGCCCCGACCCAGCAGAATGGAAGAGAAGGCCTTTGGTCAGAGCAAAAAGGACAGGGCAGTTTAAAATTCAGAGGCAGTGTGGTGCAGTGGTTCACGTGTCAGACTAGGATCTGAGAGACCCGGGTTCAAGCACCTGCTCTGCCATGGCAGCTTGCGGGGGTGACCTTGGTCCAGTTACACCCTGAGACTAACCTACCTCACAGGGTTGTCGTGAGGATAAAACGGAGAAGAGAAGAACAACGGAAGCCGCTTTGGGCCCCCATTGGGGAGAAAGGCGGGATTGTAAATGAAGCAAGTCAATAAATCAACCGATAAAAATCCAGCACCGATGGTAAGAGCACAGATGGCAAGGGAGACATTTCCGCGCTTCTAGCAAGCCCCTTCACATACCAAGTCCCCTTACTCAAGTGCTGCTGGGAAAGGTATTGAGTTGTGGCCATTTAGTTACTTAGCATCGTAAGAAGGTGCGCTGGGTCGACTCGGGCTCTTGGTCCACCAAGGTTAGGACTGTCTGCGCTGACTGGCAGTGGCTCTTCAGCTCGAGGTCTTTCTCGTCACCGGCAACCAGTGTTCCCTCTAAGCTGAGTTAGTGTGAGCCAGCTCACAGTTTTTTAGCCTCCGGCTCACACATTTTTGTCTTAGCTCAGGAAGGAGGGCTCCAGAACAAATTAATTAATGCAGTAGCCGAATCGCTCGCTCACAACTTTAATGCCAGTAGCTCAGAAAGTAGAAACTTTGCTCACAAGACTCCACAGCTTAGAGGGAGCATTGCCCGCAACCCGAGCCTTTTGACTGGAGATGCACCAGGGACCGAATCTGGGACCTTCTGCAAGCGATGCAGGCCACAGCTTTCACCATCTCCTTGAATCTGCCTTGGACCGTTTGTTTACCAAGGTCAGTCTCCTCTCTCTGACTGGCAGCAGCTCTCCAGGGTCTCAGGTGGAGGTCTCTTCCCAACACCTTACCACCTGGTCGTCATAACTGGAGGTGCCGGGGACTGAACTTGAAACCTCCTGAATCCAAAGCAGGTGCTCTGCCCCTCAGCCACAGCACCTCCATCCTGACCCATGCAGATACAGAGCTGAATGGGCGGCAGAACTAGTCGGACCCATTCAGCCACGCCATCAGCTTAGAAGTGCCAACGTGCCCCCATTCCAGTTAGGACTGTGGTATGGGAGACAGGAGGGGTTCCTGCTTTCCCCCATGCCATTTTCTTGACCTACAATGGCCAGGGGGCTGTTCCTTGCCCCATGGGGGGGGGGCCTGCACAGGCACTGCACAAGCACTGAAAGCTCCCTCCTGGAACTGTTTCGGGTCAGGAACATGGTGTGGGGTGGGAGTAAGGCAGGAGTCCTGACTCTCCCCCATGCTGTGGTTCCACCTAGAACTGGGTTCCTGTGGCACTTCTAAATTGAGCTCCCCGGCTAGAGATGTAAAATTTCCGGAAATTTTGAAACTCGGAAAAAAACCCAGTTTTTTTCGGGGGGAAACGGAAATTTTCAGAAAAACTGGAAAAAATGCTACATTAGCACTTCTTTTGTCTTTTCTAGATTGAAAGTCATTCTGTTACTTTAGGAACATAAAATATGACTATGGACATTTTTACTTGGCATGAAATTATCACAACTAGCATATTAAAAATATAGTGTATCCAAACAGTTATTACAAACAGAAACCAACATGCAAAAACAAGTGAAACCTTTTTCTTTTCTTGTGACAATAGCACCTCCTAAAGGAAGAAATGCATCTTGTTCTTGCATTGGAGAGTTCAGTTTGTAACCTAGGACTTGCTTGTCCTCAGTGCACAGAAATTAGATCAATCTGATACCATATATATATTTTAGAAATAATTTGGAAAGTGTTTGAATACCTTGTCTTAAAATATTTTATTCATCATGTTAAAATAAAACGTTCCATAATCATTTTTTTTCTTTTCTTTTTTCAATTTTTCCAGTTTTTCGGAAAAAAACAAAAAAGGCTTCAGGGGAAAAAATTGGAAAAAAACCGTTTTCCCCCCAAATTTTTCCGGGTTTTTTCTGGGCCTTCACATCTCTAGCTCCCCCCAGGAATTAGCAGGCAGCATCCTCCTACAAGCCCCCATGATGACGACATGGCGGGTGTAACATGTTCTTCCAGGAGGGCAGCTTTCCGTTAAATATGACGAGGACCTTCTTTAATGGTCAGCGCAGTCTGACAATGAAGCCAACTCTCTATGGGAATCATGGGCTCTGCCTCCCTGCAGGTCTTCAAGCAGAGGCCAGGAAACAGTTTCTTGGGAAAGCTTTAGGATATTGATGTTTTGTGCTAAGCGGGATGGGGGCTGGCCCACAGATACAGTGGGGGCTCCGCCCCTTCCTTAAAGGGCCAGCCCCCTTCCTTAAAGCCCCCTAGCTTCTTCTCAAACGCATTTAAAGGGAACCTTGAAATGGTTTTGAGAAGAAGCAGGGGGTGGCGCGGGCCCCTCTCCCCTCCCCTCCTGTAAAATTTAAAGGGCCCTCCAGCTGATTGGCGGGCCACATGCTCCCCGCTGATCTGCTGAAGGGCCCTTTAAATCTTGCAAGGGATTAGGGAGAGGGGACACACACACACACGCCCTTCATTATGGCAAGGGATGGCAGCCCCTCCTGGAAAAAAAAATGCCCCACAAGCCACAAAATTCTGGCTAAACGCCTGGGTGGGGGTGGACCAGATGGCCTCAAAATCCCCCTCCCAATTCCAGAGGTCTCCAAGCCAAGTATGGGAAGGGGACTCACCTTGGTCTGGTACGTGCTCTCTGCCTCGGCTCGGCTCCTGGCGGCGATCTCTTCGTACTGCGCTCTGACCTCGGCGATGATGCCCTCCAGGTCCAAGCTGCGGTTGTTGTCCATGGACAGGACGACGGAGGTGTCATTGATCTGAGACTGCATCACGCGCAGTTCCTGCAAGGAGACAAAGATTTCTCACTGGGGGGGACGACCAACAGAGGAGCTTCACAGCCGCCTTGCTCCGGTTCTTTACTGTGGGACAATTCATCCAGGCAGGGCTATTTTGGGGCAGGAACGCACAGGAACGGAGTTCCGGCTGGCTTCAGAGTTGGCCACGCCCACTCCAGCTAAAACCTCTGTGCGTGTGGCTACAGAGGGAAGGCCTGGAGAGCGACCCCCCCAGCGACTCCGAAGCGGGCGGGCCGGGGGGGCCTGGAAGGATCGGGGAGGCATTTAAGGGCTGGCTTGCCAGGCATCCCGCAGCCGTGGGGCACCTGGGCAAGTCAAGGGAAGACATGGGGTGTGGCCTAATATGCTAATGAACTGTGCTGTTGGGGTGTGGCCTAATATGCTAATGAGTTTCTGCTGTTGGGGTGTGGCCTATTATGGTAATGGATTCCTG